AGAAATGTCATTAACTATTGTATTCCAATTAACATAACAACCTAGATGAAATGAACAAATAAGCTTGAAAGTCACAAACTAAAAATAGTATCCAAGCCCTGGGAGGTGATCCACATGGCTCAGCAGACCTCTCCTGACCCGCCCACTGCTCCCCTCAGCAGTGTACTTTGTCAATCTGCCTGTTCTGCTCTTCACTTTGTCTCTGGTGAATCCTCTCACTGCCCCTGCACCTCTGGCCTTGTACCCAAGCTCTTTGCATAAATAAATAAATCTTAAAAAAAAAAAAGTTTCATATCACTAATCATCAGAAAAATGCAACTCATACCACAATGAGATACCACCTAATCAATTCCATTAATATCACCTGTTAGAATGGCCATTATCAAAAAGACAAGAAATATGAAGTGTTGGTGGGGATGTAAATAAAAGAATTTGTGTACTATAGTGGGAAGATAATCACAATATGTAGGTTACTAAAACAGTAAAAATTAAACTGCCTATGGTTCAATTTCACTTCTGAGAATTTATTCAAAGGAAATTACACATTATTTGCTGCAGCAAGTCAAGAAACCTGTGTCTGAAGGATGAATGAATAAAGTGTAGATAGTAATGTCATTTAACAATATTACAGTCAACAACAGACCGTATGTATCACAGTAGTCCCAATAGCGGAGGTGTGTAGTTGGCTATATAATCTTGGTTGTGTAATCATATTCTGACATTCATATTGTAACAGGGTGGTCCCTAGGAAAAAGGGAAGTTCCAGATTCCCTGTCCCACTCAGAGCTCCACCCTCCTGGGTGGGGCAGGGAACCAGGAACTTCCCTTTTTCCTAGGGACCACCCTGTTACAATATAATGAAAATGAATCATATTATGTTATAATCAATGTCACTTCAACTAAGTTAATACATGCACACAAACAAAGACTGGCAAAGATATGGACGAATGTAAAATGGTATAATGCTACTGTGGAAAACAGTATGGAGAGCATAAAAAAATTAAAAATACAATTACAATACAATTTAGCAAGTCTATATCTGGGTGTACATAAAAAAAAATTTGAATAGGCCTCAAAGAGATGTGGGTACACCTATGTTCATAGTAACATTATTTATAATAACTAAAAGTATGCATTGATAAAATAACAGATAAGCAAAATGTGCTATGTGTACACATATACCTATATATACACACATTTATAATGAAAATTTACTTATTATTTAAAAGGAATAAAATTCTGACATGTGACACATGGATGAACAATGACATTAAAATAGCCCCTCTCCCTCTCCCGTTCCCCCCACCCCCCCAACACACAAATACTATGATTCCATTTATAGGAGGTGGTGAAAATCATAGAGACAGAAAGTAGAGTGGTGGCTGTTTGGACTGGGGGGAGAAGGCATGAGGAGCTGTTGTTTAATGGGTACTAAGTAAGTTTCAGTTTTATAAACTTCAGGTATTAAGAAAATGGACACTGGTGATAGATACAAGAAATTATGAATATATTTAGTACCACTCAATAGTACACACTATTCAGATGGTAAATTTATGAATTTATGCAGTGTACATTTCACCACAATAAAAATAAATTGGGAAAAGAAAAGAAACACATCAAAATCTATGGAACCTAGCTAATGCAGTACTTAAAGGGAAATTTATAAAACAAATTATATTAGAGAAGAAAGGTTTCAACTCAGTATTTCAATTTCAGTTATGAAAAGTTAGTTAGAAAAGATCAAATTAAACCCAAATAAGGCAAGAGAAAGAATGTAAAGAGCAGAAATCAACAAAACAAAGAAAAGAAAAATAAGAGAAGTGACAAAGCAAGAGATGACTCTTCAAGAAGATAAAGCTAATAAACTGAGATTAAGAAAAAAAGGGGGGGGACAAAATATGAAACAAAAAAATGAATAATAAAGAAATGTCATTAACTATTGTATTCCAATTAACATAACAACCTAGATGAAATGAACAAATAAGCTTGAAAGTCACAAACTAAAAATAGTATCCAATAAAAATGGACAAATTGATTAGCCCTAATTTCTTTTAAAAATTGGACTTGTATTCAAAATTTTTCTCTCAAAGAAAACTCAAGGCAGAGACAGTTGCACTGAACATTTCTGAAAAATAAATTTAAGGAAGAAATATAATACCAAGTCCCAATGAAGAGGGAACACTTATGAGAAGAATATACCCTGTCATCAGAATCAGAGAGACATCATAAGAAAAGAAACTCCAACCCTAAGCAGTGGATACTTTTAATCCTTCCATTTTAGAGATGAAACAGAGGAATGAAGAGATTCAGAAACTTTCTTAAGGTCAGGAAACTAAAATTTGAATTTCAGAACTCAGGCTCTTAACCATATACTAGGACTGCTTATCAAATTAGACTCTAGATTATTTCTGCAAAAGGAGACAATAGAGGGCCTCCTAGTGGTACAGGGGTTATTAAAGTCTCAGTGCTGTCAAGCTATCATCAGTCACCTGCAGCAAGAGTCTGCTGGCCAAGGAGCTGACCCACATGCCACCTCTCCCTCCTTGCCCACTGCTCCCTCAGTAGTATATTTCAGTACATCTACCTTTTCTGCTCCCCACTGTCTCTGGTGAATCCTCTCACCACCCAGCTCTGGCCTACACCCCAGTTCTTGTATGTTTATGTAAATAAAAATGAAATCTTAAAAAAAAAAAAAAAAGGAAAAGAGTAGAGAGTATTGCTCAGTACTTACCTAGAGACTATACTAGAACCATTATAGAGATCACTAGCATATGACAAAGTAGCCAAAGGTCGTACTGAATTATATCGTGTAAATTTGGACAAGCATTCCTGAAATTCATCCAATTGGCTTGCAGTTCGACTGTCATCTAAATGGAGAAAACAAAGTAAAATAACTGAATGGAACTGCTGTGTAAATCAAAGAGCAATGAACAGAATAAAAATGATATTCTAAATACAAATAATACTTCAAAAGTATTTAGGAAAAATTAGTATGCACTAATTGGTTGATCTTTGAGCTGTAATAAATTTTTTTAATATTTTGAAAGACACTGTGCCTTTCAACACCAACAAGAACATATTGTGTCCTCTATATTAATCTTTCAATAATTTCTGGGGAAAAACAGAACAGCATTTTTGGATCAAATGAAGTTAAATCATTTAAAAAATGAGTCTGGGCCCTCCCTAGTGGTGCAGTGGGTTAAAGCACAGCACTAAGAAGCTAAAAACACTTCAGCATGAGTTCGATCCCCGCCTGCACCGGAGGTGATCCACATGGTGAGGCAGACCTCTCCTGAACTACCTTCTTTTCCCCTCAGCAGTGTACTTTGTCGATCTCCCTGTTGTGCTCCCCACTCTGTCTCTGGTGAAGCCTCTCACCGCCCCTGCACCTCTGGCTCGACCCCAGTTCTGTATGCACAAATAATAAATCTTTTAAAAGCAAAAACAACTTCCTAACTTTTTTTACAACCTGTTATATATAACCTGACATACATAGTATACACATGCACATATACAAAGACATTTATATATAACATATATAACCATATGTAACTTTACATAAAATTCCCAAATACAGAAAAAAAATGATACTCATGAGAAAACAATGTTCTCCAAGATCTCTGAAAACCACCACACGATGCTCTGGTTTACTGTTTAAAATACACACTTTGCCATTATGAGTAGGATTGTTCCATAAATCCAGCACAAGAGATGGATTTGAAATATGAAATATATTAGTAAATCTGGAACACGTACCTGAGATACGAGACATCCTTGTAGAAAAGTAACATTGCTCTAAGTCTTCAAAATGAGCAGTGAGTCGTTTTCGTCTTGATGCTAATGTGCTGTTATACCAAGGCTGTTTCTTTGTCTAAGGTTACAGATAACAAAAAAACTCACTTAGGATAAACAATGCTCTATCCTCAAAGACTACGTAAACGCTTATATATTTAATTTCAAAAATTAATTACACTAAATTATAAAGATTAGGATTCTCTGCCTAATATGTAAATCACTCTTATGCAGAATAAAAACATGTCTAAAGATGAAATAGTATGGATTTCCCAGAAGACTCCTGTCTTAACATCTGCTGGAGAACAAAGATGTTGAGGAAGAAATCCTAGTTGTATTTATAAGACAGAACTCATAGACATATTTTGCTGAAAGCTTTCCACTACATTTCTGTTTTTACTCTTTAGAAAATACAGATCTAAAGCATACTGTCACAGAAAGGACTGATTATACTATATCACCATATAGGGTTGTGACTGGAGAGGAATGAGCTAAGGGGCAAAAAGTAGAAATGTGGTAGAAAAATATAACAGAAGCAACTTGGTGAGTAACATTCTTAAGTCATTGTAATGACTCAATTTTTCTTTGAGTGATTGGTTAAATTTGGTTCAATAGGTATTTGTTTCTTTTTGATAGTTTGCATCAAAAATTCACATTATTAAGTGTAATAATGTGAATAATCTTTTCTTCTTTAAAGCCCAAATCTGTTTCTGTGAAAGATTGTCTTTTTTTTTTTTTTAAGGTTTATCTATTTATGCATACAGAACTGGAGTACAAGCCAGAGGTACAGGGGCGGTGAGAGGATTCACTAGAGACAGAGTAGGGAGCAGAACAGGCAGATCGACAAAGTACACTGCTCTTTTGGGGAACAGTCAGCGGGGTCAGAAGAGGTCTGCTGTGCCATATGATCACCTCCAGGGTGGGGATGGAACTCATGCTGAAGTGGCTTTTGCGTCTAAGTGCTGTGTTTTAATCCACTGCGCCACCAGGGAGTGCCCAAAAGTGTGTCTTTTAGCAGGTTTTTCTGCACTTAGTCTTTCTTCGTATAAAGGTTACATTCTGTGTGAATAGCTAGGTTCTCTTTTTGCATTGTTTTATTTATGAAATTAGTGTGAATGTACAAGGCCTTGTATGTTGAAAATTTGCATATTTCAGTTAACATGCAGAATACTTTCAACTTCATTTAGAGTAAGGCTCTCAGTGGAATTAATGCTATGGTAATAATGGTATCTTTCACTGTATACACATTAATTTCATTTATCTTTTGAAGATATCGTTACTTTTATATTTTTGGCCATTAATTTATATTAAGTTGTCAAATGAAATATTCAAGTTCTGAGGCTTTTCCTCCCATTTTCATTTAATGACATTCATTGGGAAACATTTTTGTTAATTTTATAAAGATTTTTCATAATTTACAGGCTTTCACTAAATGATCTTTTCCTTCAAAAAAGTTTTATTTATTTATGCATCTAAGAGCTGTTGTATAGGCCAGAGGTATGGAGGTTCAGAGGAAGGATTCATCAGAAACACAGTGAGGAGCAGAACAGGCAGACTGACAAAGATACACTGCTGAGAGGAGCAGCCAGAATGTGACTGCAGGTCTGCTGCACCATGTGGTTTCACTCTCTGCTGGGTATTGAACTCCTGTTGCAATGGCTGCAGATAGCTTCATGCTAAGAGTTAACCCCTTTCATCACCATGGAGGCCCTATTTGTACCATTCTTATCAATAAGTTGAAGCTTAAAAATATTTCAACATAAAAGTCATAAAAATTTGTTAGCCCTCGAGATTAGATTTTATAAAATACCAATGCCTTCAAGTCACAAATGAAAAGTAAAAATTCTAATTAGAGGAAAAATGAAGCTAGCCTGTTTTACTCAAGACTGTATTTTATTTTCCATAGAAAAGCTTAATGTTTCAATAAGTGATAACTCACCAACATAATTTCACATTGCTGAGAGAACCATGCCTGATTATTCATAATTTCTCTTATATTCTTCCTCTCAACATATAACATCATCAACATATTCACAAAATTGTAAAGTTCATCACAACAGCAAATGAGTAGCTGATTTTACATCAGTTATTTAAGTCTTAGTCATTTACTCATTGTTCCAATATTCAAAATAGCTATTTTTATGACAGTAAACCAATCTATAATTTTACAACCTGGTTATTATATTCATAGTACCCTAAAATCATAATGTTGACATTTACCTGAGAACTGCCACTGAAACCTGGAGGCTGGCTGTATTCTGTGGAATCAATAATACTACTGCAAAATGAAGACCAAAAAAATGATTTCAGCATTTATGTTAATGAGACAAAGTAAATCTATAGCACATCGCATATAAATTCAGTATATCTAATTTCTAAACAAAGAAAATATTTACTGCCTTTAGTTTAAATATGTATCAATAAGTGTACAATCCATAAACAAAAAAACAGCAAATATTTAAATAATTACTGCTTTATCCCTCCACCTTAAATGTACACAGCATGAAAGAATATCAATAGAGAATAATCATAAAAAGCAGATGTACACATAGATATATTTGCTTTAGTTTGTTTTCAGATCAGTCAATAAGTTTTCTGCAATTCTTTTAAGGAAAAGAGAACTTAACATATTGAGAAAGAGCATAGGCAAAAAATCAAAAACTATGGCTAGAAGACCCTGTTATGCCACTAAATAGCTATGTGCTCTTAGACAACTACCTTATAATCAGTTTCCTTATCTGCAAAATGAGGTGTGTGGAGGCTATGAGGCCCTTTCTGCTCTGAAATATGATCATGTTAAGTGAAAGGAAACTATTAGAAGAATAGAATATGTGGTAAAATACCTACAACCTCACAATCTGCAACCTATACCCTAGTTTTCTCTGCTACCATAATTTGCTTTCTTCATGATACACAGGGTTATATCCTCTAGAAATTCTTAACAAATCCTAAAGACTTTCTAGAAATGCTGACTATCTTTTGCTTCCTATTCTTCCTACTATTTCAATTTTACATATATATGCAAACCGTTTCTGTTAGTTCTAGCCTACAATTTCTACCTTATCAAAAACAATAAATCATATGGAACTTTCCTTACAGTAATCTTAAAATAAAAGGCACACACTCATGGATCTTAATTTATTTTGTTCCTGTTTGTAGAGTACAACTCAGCCATCAGAGGCCTCCCTCATGGTACAAGGGGTTAAGTCTCAGTACTAAGAAGCTATCAACAGCCACTGTGGCATGACTTTGATGCCTAGCAAGGGAGCTGACCCACATGGAGCAGCAGACTTCTCCCATTTCCCCAGTAACAGTATATTTCAGTGGACTGCCTGTTCTGTTCCCCACTCTGTCTTTGGTGAACCCTCTGGCCTGCACCCAGTTCTTAAATGTGTATATAAAACATTTTTTAAAAATTCAGAGCTTTTACACTACAAATTAAAGAATCAATATAATTTTCTAATGGGTTTACTTGGATAAAATATAACCAGTGCTCACCTTCTTTGCAGATTCATACACTAGGTACAAACTCAACCACTATTTCCCAAATATTCCACCTAGGGCTAAAATGAGATCCCATGCCTCTGAAATCTTTCTGTTATTTTAAGTAATGAAATCCAATTCTCTAACATTTATATGAACAATGATAAAATTCTGCAGTTGCATATTTACAGGGCAATATTCACTAAGAAATACTAATGCATATAGAACTACAACAAAAGTAATCTGAAAAGTAAAACCCTGTGATTCTATTTTAAATATGTATGTATATGTGTGTATGTGGTTAGAAGACAATATTAGCAAGTGGCAACTGGGCTGGGCCCTTATAGTGCTAGTACAACTTTTTAACTCTGAGCTAGCCACAATCACAAAATAACGACAGAAATAACAACAGGAACAATAATAACTACAATTTATTAAGCATTTACTATGCATTGGCAGTAATAATTGAAACCTCATAAACCTCAGAAACTGCTATCATTTATATTTCTCAGAGAGAAAAACTCAGCACTGAAAGATTTATATATTGGGCCCAAGGCAACAAATGAGGAAGCATACTAGGACTTAGGACTCCAACCCATGCAGTCAGGCTTCAGATTCTCCACAAACCATCATCTGTACTCTCAAAATACTTCATTGTTCTCTAACTGCAAAGTCTGGAAATCCTAAATTAGCCCAACCCACTTCACAGACATAATGTAAGAAGAAAAGTGAAAACAACTATAAATATGAAAGATAATCACCAATACATTTCAAATAGATGTCAACAAAGATCCAAATAAATTTAGATGACTAGATTTAGACTGCACTTTTATTTGAAAAGGGTGATTCACCTTTTAAGTATATTAGCTAGGCCCATTATGTTCTAATAAACTACGAGCAAAATAAAGTATGCGGACACCATTTAAAGCTGACTGTAAAGAAAATAAATGAGGGAATTGAATGGACCTAAAAATGAACTCTGTACACACATGAAATTTGACTCTCTACTGCCACTGATCCACTTTTTCATTAGTATAAACTTAAGAGAAAATAATAACTACATTTAATAAACTACATGGGGCTATATTCAAATCAGTTCTTTTTCAGTATTCCACATAAATTTATTGAACCACTTCCCCAAAACAAAACATACAAAGCAACATACAACATGAAAATGTAACATAAATCCTAAGGGTAATTACAGCCAAATATTGTTTTCATTTTTTAAAACAATAAAGTTTGTTTTATTTTATTCCCTTCCTACCAAGGCATAAGCCCTCATTTTACCAAAGGATAGAGCTAAATTACTTGATTTTCTCAGAACACTTTTTTCATCAGTTACTTGACACAGAACTTTCACTCTGCTCTATCAGTGTATGGTATTATTTACTATTCCTTTATGTAACAATTGTTGATGAATTCCAAAATTCTTGGGAACCCAATTTTACAAACGCCTCAAAAAATATTAGAAATTGTGTTAATTTCTAATTTCACATACCTTTTTAGTATCTGACACCAACTATACTGACAAATTCTCCAAAATCAAAGTGACTCATTTGTCTATTAACAACAGTAACTGCAGTATCTAATATAGATTGTGTACTACATGCCAAGCATTATTCTCATTTCCTTAAATGTAGTATTAATTTTATTAGTCAAGACATATCCTTATTTTCCAGATGAGAAAACTGAGGTTTATATAAGTTAATAAACTAGCCTTACATCAAAATTGCTAATTAAATTAAATTAAATTTGAACCCAGACTGTATAATTTCAGAATCCTTGTGTAAGACTACCAAAATAGTGTTTTCTTTAAGAATCACTGCTCTGCTGTTTTTGAAACAAAAGTTTCCATGACCTTCTTTTCAATGTTTTATTCTCAGCTCTCCTATGAATTCCAAGGGATTTATATTTTCTAAAGAAAGGATGCCGGGTTAGAATACTGCTTATGCCACTATGTCATGCTAGGTAAAAATACTTCACCTTGCTAAGTCAATTTCTTCATCTTTAAAATGAAAAAATAGAAACCCTATACAATGGAATTTTTTCTAAGGCTTAATATGAAATGTGTAAATTAAAAAATAACACCTAGGGCCCTCCCTGGTGGCGCAGTGGGTTAAAGCACTGCACTAAGAAGCTTAAGCCAATTCCGCATGAGTTCGATCCCCGCTTGCCCTGAAGGAGGTACACATGGTGGGGCAGACCTCTCCTGATCTGCCCACTGCTCCCCTCAGCAGTGTACTTCGTCGATCTGCCTGTTCTGATCCCCACTCTGTTCCTGGTGAATCCTCCCACCCTCCCCATCTCTGGCCTGTACCCCAGTTCTGTATGAATAAATAAATCTTAAAAAAAAATAAAATAAAATAACACCTAATACACAGAACTTTTGCAAGTAAAATTAGCTCTCCCTAGAAAAGCATTAATTTTCTGACTGTGATGCAAAATGCAATTAATATCAATTTATTCTCTTAAAAAGACTTTAGATATAGTGCTAAAATATAGTACATAATGTTTCATGGTATCTGAATTTCATCAAGCTATTTTACAACAAATTTTAGACAAAACTTTTATAAACACTGTTCATTATAATAGTCTTTTTTTAAACAATATAAGTTTGTCTTTTTAAAATAATGGGTTCAAACATTTTATTTAAAATCTCAACACCTAAAAACTTAGAACTCTGAAAAATCATACTTTTGTAATTTACTTGAATGCAGAACCTGTCCTGAACAGATCTGTTGTACTTTAGATTTCACTAGCTGTGAACATTAATGTTTTCAAAGCTGAAATATGAATAGGCTTGATTATTCACTGTGTTGCCTTTCAAAAGTTGGGGACGAGAGTGGGAATGCTGCTAACTCCCTAAAGATTTCTCATAAACACCATGCAAGTTTGTATTTGCTTGAAGAATATGTTATTTCAATAATAAAAATACTGAGCTGCAGAAAAAGGAAAACCAAAGTTATTGAAAGAGCAGAAACTACTGGGTTATCAGAAAAATCAGAGCGTATTTTTTTCTTTGAAGAAAGCTGATTAATTTGTCTATCCTATGATTATGTAGCTGTAAAGGGCAGAACTTACAGTCTGTCACACATACAATATTCCCAGTGCCTACAACAGTGTTTTATATATGCCTAGTAGACCTCCAAAAACTAGCAGAATGATTGAAGAATTCTTCAAATATTCAAAATAAAGGAAATTACATTGTCTCAAAAATTCATAACTTACTATATTTCTATTAGCTATCAATTTAAGCAGTATTAAAGACTTATGAAGATACAGTACCTTCCACTGCACTGCCAAGGAGATCCATTCTGTATTTTGAATTTCCTTTTGTTTCAATTCAACTTTAAAATTCCCTAAAATTCTTTAATGTCATCCATTACCTATGGCTTCAAGTTCATCTCCTTTGCAAAGCAGAGGGTCAGCATTAAGGCAAATAACCTTTAATGCTTCCAACAATAAAACAACTGTGTTTTACTTTCTCTCCCATAACATCAATACTTTTATTAAAATACAGCAAAGTATCATTTATATCCAAAGTCCTCGTGGAATTTATTATTGGTTAAGGCATTTTAAAGATTATAGATCAGAAAATGTTTATTTACTATTTTTACTATATTGATATACTGTTTTATCATAGGAAAAACAAGAGTCATTGTGTAAATTTAAGACAAATCTATTTGTGTATTATTAAAATCTAACCATCTTAAACAGACAAAAAAGTCTGAATTAACTATATTAGAACTAAGTTTGGTGAGGTTCTGAAAACACAGAGCTAACAATTCTAAAGTACTTGATTTAAAACAAAGAATAAAGCTAAATGAGATAATAATTGCAAAGAAAACCCCACATTTCCGAAATAATTTAAAAATTTATTAGCAAAGCTACTGGTAAAAGCGTGAAAAGACAAAAATCTGAACTTTAGAATTTAGGTGTTTGGGCCTAAATATACTTTAAACAAAATCATCACTGTCATTGTCAAGAAGGAAGTATGACAAAACCGTTCCATTTCTTAAATGTTTATGTTTGAGCTGAATTTTATGTTCAAATGCTAATGTATTAATAATACTCTAGAAGAATGAAATGGATCATATGCGGCCAGAGGAGTATATGTAAACAAGTAAACAAGTAAAAAAAAACAAACAAAAAACTGTCTACCAATCTCTTATTTGCAATTTGATACAAACAGCTATGTAACAATAAAGTACAAACTATATTTGAATAAATTGCATATGCAAAGATAAAATGAAAATTAAGAATTGTATAGATTTTCTTCCACACCATCTAAAGGAAAATAATAAGGCCCTGATAGCAACAATCTGTGGTTTGAGCTAATTAGAAAACTGAGAAATCTGCACTGGATTAAGGCCATGTAAGCAAAACTACAACACATTTTTCATAGAAATAGCCACACTCAACTCCATCCCCATCCAATGAAGCCTGCCTGGTAGTTTTGTATTTGTGTGGTTTTTTTTTTTTTTTTTAGTTTCATGAACAATGGAAATGATACATATTCTAGGTTAGACATATATTGATTCAGAACACATTAAGTCCAGTTGTGTATAAGTGTTCACATAAGGAAACATGGGAGTGTAAGAAATACCCAATATTCACAGAACTGGAGTAGGGCATGCAAACTACACGTAAGCTAGTACATGGAATACAGAAGCAAGAACAAAATAGAAATCTTAAAAAAAAAAACACACACACACACAACCGTGATTAATTCTAGCTTTTCCTCTCCTTTCCCCTTTGTTTATGAGGGAAATAGCATGTTACAAAGACTAGAATACGCTCACCCTTAGTTGAAGATTAAGAGGTTGAAGAAAAGACAGCTAAGAGATGAATCCTGAAGTTTTCCAGACAAAAGGAACAGTATAAACAATATAAAATATACTAACATCTGATTTAGGAGATCAATTCTAAAACGCAAACACAGTAGGGTCAGATTTAGGTGCTTATGGAAGACCTTGCAGAAGATTTGGATCTCAACCAATTTAGATGGAAAAGTCTTTATGCATGAAAGAAACAAAATGAAATTTCTGGCCATGCTCTTCAAGAGGACAGTAAAAAGACCATTACTAGGATCTATATGATAAGGAGGATTTAAACAGGAAGCAAGAAAAGATCTAGTAAAAATTGTCATTACAGCTAATCATGGTCAACAGAAAATAAAATGGTGATGGAGGGAGAAGGAAGAGTTAACACTGTCTTTTGCTTTTCTTTTCACTAAAAATAAAAGAATATAAATACAAACCCAGTCTATGTAAAGGATTCAATGACCATAAACATAAAAGTCCTCATTATAAAATAATCTACAGAAAAGGACTTTTTAAAGTAAGCCTGCTTAATTAAAGGAGAAACCAATATGGCACAACAGAGAATAAAAATGAAACTGTATGATATTTAAATAACAAAGGCAATAATTATGGGGGATAAGGAGGGAACTGTAATTGTAACTACAGGCCATCTCTTAAAAGTCAAATGTTGATAGTATAACATAACTTCCTTAGTATGTTTAATTTCACACTTTAATCTTAAGGGTCATTTTTCAAGGGTACATAATTATTTGCAAATAACTATGTCAAACCCTAAATAACAGTCAAACTACTTGCTTTTAAAAAATATAAAATACTCTTTCGACAAAAATATCATGTTTGCCCATTTTCCCTTTTCAGTTCTTTATCAGGCTCACTCTGCAAAATTTCATTGCATACAGAAATTAAGGAAATCTTAAGCAATGTTTTTATAAACATGAATCCTCTATCTTTTTTAAGATATGCTATTTTATTTTACTCTCTCTTCTAGTTTGCTGTAATTCTTCCTAACAATCCTCCCAGCTCCCAAAGACAGAGAGAAACAGATTCTCTATTTTCTATATGAAAACTCCAGTAAATGTACTAAAATCTAATCAGATCCTGCTCAAAACTTTCATGACTTTCCATATTCCTATCCAAACTAAGATAGAATGCTCTTGGCAAACCCCTATTATGCCTATTTTTCCTTCCTATGGTACTACTTACATACCATGTAGTACTACTACATACATATTTGCTTATGTATCAACAATATTTGTGCCAGTCTCTACACATACACATCCCAACAAGTAAGCTCTATAAGAACAGAGACCTTCCCAATAGTATCCACAACTGGAATAGTGTCCAACGTATCAGAGGCATCTGATGGACAATTTCAAAAATGCCCTATATAAGCCACATGTTAATAAAATTCATCAGTGAGAGACTGTTTTAACAAAGAGCTCAAGAGAGTAGAGGCAAAGAAATGTTAACATTAAACAAAGAGGTATATAAAAATAAAATGAGAATTCTCAGTGCATAAGTTTTTTCTGATAATGGTAACTTCTGCTTGCCTTCATGCACTTATATAATAAATATCCCATTAAGAAAGATCCCATGTATACCTGGAAGTAAATGCTAAGCTGAAAATAATATCTCACAGACTAAATCATTTCCAGTGTTTTAAAATAAATAGAATTTGGAGGAAAACAAGTTGAATATACTGCTAAAGTCATGACAAAATAAATTTGAATTCACAAGAATTCTCCATAAAACAATTCTTGGAAAAAATATCAACCTCCAAGAATGCTAAGGACCCCCTCTGCCCATATTATACCAAGCTAGACCTACAATAGTGTTCCTGAACTGACACAGGTTCTGAAGACCAGTGCTAATCTCTTGTTCTGGTTCTAGGCTGCCCGGTAACTACATATTATCTTAATCTAGTAGCCTATTGTAATCTCAAATTTTTTCAGTCCCTTTCTGGGTCAATATGTTAATAGAGCATATAGAAGAGAAGCCTTAATGAAATTTATAAAGGGAACTGAAATAAAATACTAGGGAAATCTAGAACTGTCTTAAATCTGAGAAACGTCACTAGATAAAGAAAAGACAAAGGTTGTACTTTATAAAATTTTTCCCTAATATTTGAGAACATTTCATGTTAGATTTTAATCTTATCTGATTTTAACTGAAAAGCTACTATCATTTCAAGAAATTCACCAAACTTTTAATTCAATAGTAAATTCATTATATGATAATATTCTATTCACTAATTATGCTTGGCATTAAAATTTAAAGCATTAAGGAAACAGATGGGCCATCTAAATTTCATTTCTTGATCATATCCAAAAGTAATTTCTCAAGGGTTTTGTACATTACATGGAAAATGCTCACAAGGACTAGTAACATATGTGCACTTTGTAACAAAATTCTTAAGCAATTTTAACTGTGAAGTTTTGTACCTGTGTGATGGAGAAGGAGCTTCAAATTGAGGCACTGTGCTATCCTCACTGACAGGAGAGTACAAGCCGCTCATTTCCTGAAAGCACAATTATTTGAGTTACAGTAGACACTTCAAAACAGGTGATTTTAAATCAAAATGAGATATATTCCTTTCTAATCCCAACATTTTATCGGTCCCTTTCTGTGTCAACATCCAAATTTCCTAAGGTATCTACTCTACAGACATAAAAGCATATATAACTAAAAAGTTTTAAAAGACAAGCCTTTCCACAATAAATGATCTTAAAGAACTAAAAACTTCTTAATAAATATACTAATAATGCCACTAAATGTAGGAAAAGACAAATGAAAATATTTTAAAAGAGGACAGTGTAACAACAAAGAAATATCTAATCACTAATGCAGGTGAAATCTATTAGTAATGTTTCTGGTATGACACTGTGTTAACCATATAATTAGGTTCAACTCTCTAAGATACAGAAGAACAGCATATGTTTTCTCTTTTTAAAATACATCTTGCAAACATTAAGTAATAATGCTCTTCATTCAAACATTAGTTTAATTTAATAATGACTTTAACTGATCATTAATCCAGAGGTAGATTGACAGAAAGGTTAAATGTCCAAAATCACTCAGCAAATTGTAGCACTGAGGTTAAAATCAGCAGAATTTATGTTGTTACATCACTATGCTATACTACTTCTTGAAAATAACAACTTAATTTTTATATAAGGCCTCCTAATCAACTATTATTGAATAATTTATGCTTACAGAATGCCACACATGTAGGATACTTAAATACTAAACTTACTATCATTTGACATGCTCTATGTATTAGCAAAAGAAAATCTTAACAGGTATATAATTCATAACACATATTAAACTGAAGTAAGGGTGAAAAAAAATTAACCTTACCTAATAATTTACAATAGTCATTAAAATTACATAAGAATGGAATTATAACAAACATTTAATAAGGTTTTATGGTAGTTGATTTAAGTTAATATGATGGCACACCAAGAAAATTGGTTTGTTTGTTTGCTTGTTTTCAATTTACCTGAGAATAATTATGGCAATAAAACACTGTGAAAACAAATCAGAGTACATTTTATCATAAAGAAAGTGGTCATTTTTTTTCTACAAAAATGCGCTCAATAAAATTAAAGCAACATCTGTTGCTTTCTACATAACAAAGATGAATCCCATAAATTTAATGCAAAATTTTAAAGGGAAAAATGTCAATTTTATGGAACTGAAAAATCACTAGAGATGTGAGAAATTCTTGATATCTTACTTCCACTCTTTTAATATCCTCTTCCAAAACACTTAGCTCCTTCTGGATCTGTTCCAGTTGCTGTTGATAAAAAAAAAGAAAAGAAAAAGCCTAAACCAAACCATAACGGCACCACTACAATGATAAATAGTTTCACTTCTGGAAGATGATTTCTAGAAAACTGGGTATAATGGTAAGCTGTAAGAGTGGAAAACCATAGGCAAAAAAGCTCTGATAGTCTCCATGTTAAAAATGCAAGTGTAAAGATTTAATATTTTAGAAAACTAAAATGTACTTCTTTCATACAGGATTTTATAATAAAAAGATTAAAGCTGAAAAACAATGATAATATGACTTACAAAAAAAATCCAAAGAACTTTCAAACTACTTCATAATGACAGTATTTCAGCTGTTAAAACCATTTTAAAAATAAAATTAGCCTCAGGTTAGATCCTTAACCCCGATGTAATCATAAGTTCACAACTTAACATTTTTCTCTTAATAGACTTTACCATATTAAAGAGAGCATGTACACCTTTGCCATCTTACCTACTACGTCACAACCTTATTCCATGTCATTAAAATACAAATATTTTAGTATCAATATATTTAGACATTCCCTTCTCACTAGAATTTGTTTGCAAGTAATGAAAAGTAATTCTGGTACATGAGCTTGTACTTGAAATTTTATTGCAATTACTAAAAAATGGGGTCTCCCTGGTGTCCAAGAGATTAAGTCTCAGTACTGTGATGTCATAAGCTATCTGTAGCCACTGCAGCCCAACTTTGATCCCAGTCCGGGAGCTAACCCACATGGCACAGCAGACCTCACTTTTCTCACCTATTGTTCTCCTTAACAGAGTAAAGTAACTACCTGTTCTGTTCCCTATTCTGTCTCTGGTGAACCCTCTCCCTACCCCCCAACTCCAACATAAACCTCTGGCCTGCACCCTAGTTTTTCTATGCATAAATAATTTTTAAAAATACTACTACAAAAGGAATTAGAGTTAAAAAATTTTCACTATATAAAACAAAACTGATTTTTTAGAAACACTACACCAACTTAAATATCTATCACCATTTATATAGCACTACCTTACTCTAACCCAATTTACGAAACCAAATGTTTAAAATGTAAAATACAATAATGAATATTTACTGAATATATATTGCCAGGTATGAAACGGTAGGAAAAGCACAGAAAGATTAAATGATCTTCTCAAGATCATCACCAAGTAAGTGGCAGTACTGGAGTTAAACTCAAGGTTAAGTTTCCTGTGCCAAAATTTATGCTGCTAACCAGTAAGCTATGTTATTTGTTGAACATAATACTTTATTGTTCAATTTTTGTTATTTAATACCAGTAAGGATAAATACTTTATGGTGAACACACTTTTATTATGAACTCTATCACATCTTTTACATGTGCATACTCTACAAGTATCTGTTCATGGAACCTATTGAAATTATCATGATTTTAGGTGATTATTTGTGGTATACATGCTCTATATTTCTATAGCAGTAAAAACAGATAAAGTTTACAAGTCATGTATCTTCACCCAACAAGTCCACTAGCTGAAAGCTGAGAAATATTAGCCCAAGGGAATCCACAATAAAAGAAAAAAGAAAGGAAACTGCACATTTAAGCTTAGAGAATAAATAGACTTTTAAGGTATAAAAACTTTAGCACACACTATCTCTTCTGTGGCAATATGTGTATACAATTGATAACAGAAAAAAATGATTAATTCAAATTTACCAATAGTGATCAATTTGCTAAGAAATAGAAGAACAAGATTTAGAAAATTACAATGCTTGCTTTCATGGAACTAATTCCAGGGAAGATGACAAGCAAACCAACAGATGAAAAAGCATTGTGAACACTGTGATATGTTACACACCCAAAAAAATGAAGGAAACAGAGTACTCCTAACCTAGATGGAAATTCCAAGGGGAGGAATAACTGGATAACTAAAATTAGACCGGAAATTAAAGTGGAACCTTAAAGAACTAATAAACTTTTGTCAGGTGGAAAAGAGTGAGGAAAAACTGAATAAGCAGGGTAAGAAAGACAAGGCATAAAAGCTATGATAAAGGAGGATAATCACACAATGTCAACCAGTAATATCAGAATAGGTAAGAACAAAAACAAGATGCTAGAAGACATCAATGTTTGAGCTATGAACAAAGGTGGGTACAGTCCTGTGTTAACTAGAAAATTGCAAAGAGCCATAGCCCCAAGCCAAGGAGAAAAGATTGTGTGCGCGCACACACAGACACCCATGCGTGCTCACATAAGTGTAGGGAAATATGAAAACAGTGATTAGCACTCTCTAGTGTCTTCAACTTTTCCATCTACTTTAATGAATTTTCCTCTACCCTCAAATTTTTCACACAATAACCTTAAAATTGAAAACTTGCTCTTCCTCAGATACAGTACATCTTGGAATTCTTTCAAATAAGTACTGGTCAACTGATAAATCTCTCATGCCACAGGTTTCAGAGAACAAGTAGGAACTTAACACTTTTGTATTTCCTGGCCATTTCCAACAGTCTTCCACTGTAACAGAAGAGTCACTCTAATAACCCAAGATATAAAGAAACTGAAGGAAATGCATACAAAGGAATACTACTCAGCTTTAAAAAAGATTAAGTATAGATGGGTATGGACAGTATGGATGGATCTTGAGGTGATTTATGGTAAGTAAAATAAGTTAGGACATGACCGACAACTACCACAGCTTTTCTCACTTGTGGAATATAAACAACTAAAGTAAACAAACCACAAAATGTAACAAAACTTAATCTAAGACTCTGAAAAATAAAGTGGTTATCAAAAAGGATGTGCAAGGAGTGCAGAGAGATAGGGGAGAAATGTAATAGTATCTTTGCATCAGAGGCTTGGTAGACAGTATGTGAAATATGTGCACATGTTCAAGTGTGAAACTATATTCCCAAACGAATGACAAATCAATAAAATTTTGAAGACAAAAACCTCTCTAGTCTGGTTCAATAAGCAATCAAATCACTAATGTTAACTATTTATATATATCCAGCTATTTTCTACCATCACTAAAGCCTTTCATTTTCTGTTCATAGGCATTTTCAACCCCAGTGATCTTCATTTTCAATTCAGCAAACCATTATTACTTAGTAACCTTAAAACTCTATTCTCTAAATTCCTACTTAAAACAAATGCTGAGGGGTCTTAACTAGGGGTCTTTACTATGACTGCTTTAAAAATATACATTTTAAAAAGATGAAGGTAAACATTTATAACATCAACATTCAAAGACAGACAATACTTCATACAAAATACATAATTAAAATCAAATTAATAATGTCCATTCCACTCCTGCACCTGAAATGCTGGAAAAATATTTTAAACTCTTCTGTCCTAATCTCTGGTAATATTCCATCCTCATAATACCCCAAAATTTTGTTGAGTAACACATTTATAATCTAAGGAGGTTGCTATCAAGTGAACTCTATAAAACTGCCAATATTCAAAGCATTTTAATAAACTTCTAAAGCCTGCAATTTCATATGGTCCAATTTAAAATTAAAAAGATAGGGCACAGTGCTACCCAAATAGATACATGGACAGGGTATAAAGCAAAATGATGTAATCTACATGAGAAAGTCTGAAAAATGATCAATAAATTAAAATTTTTAAGAAGAGTGGAGAAATGTCAGGTATTTAGAAAACACATTAAATTTGAGATACTTAACATTTGAAAATAAAATTCTGAAGAGGTTTGGAGCTATAAATTATTAGGGCATTGTGATATATAATGAGAAATATATTGGCCTACATTCAGGCTTCTGGTCACTCCTGCAACCCTTGATGATGAGTGTCTTTCTGTAAGGTGATATGATGGTTTATGGCTGAGGGATCCCCTAAAACTTCCAGATAAGACCTGGTTTTCAAGAAAGTAACCTAGAATTTGAGGGTTATAACTTGCAACTCCACCCACCAACGTCCAGCGGAGGAAGAGGATCTGGAACCTGAGTTTAAGCACCAATGACCAATCACACTTATGTAATAAGACTTCATCTCAAACAAAGTAAAATTTAAAAAAAAAAAACCTAATTCAAGGAATTCGAAGCACTCCTAGGTTGGTGAACATATGGAGATGCTGGGAAGGTGTCACACCTGAGAGATCATAGAAGTTCTGTTCCCTTTCCCACAATCTACATCTTCTGCATCTCTTCCATGTGGTTGTTTGTAAATTGCATCCTTTTATAATTAACTGGTAATCTGGTCAGTAAAATGTTTCCCTATTCTTTAAGACATTCCAGAAATTTATCAAGCCCAAGAAGAGGGTAGTAGGAACCTCTGATTTATAACTGGACAATCAAGATAGTACAGATAACAGCCCAAACTTGTGACTACTATAAAAAGTGGCATCTCAATCTTGTGGGACCACGTTATCAACTTGTAAAATATGACACTCATTCTGGGTGGTGTGTAAGAACTGAACTGAATTGTAGGATACTCAATTTAGGTCAGTTGTAGGATACTCAATTTAGAGAATCTAGCTGGGTGTGGAAAAATCACCCACACATTTGGTAGCCAGAGTATGGAGAGTACAGTGATAAAGGAAGCATATGCTTTCCTTTCAGGCATAAATGCAAAACATTATAGTACTAGAAAACAGAAGACCAAAAAATAAAAACCCACTTAAGAGAAGAAATAGATAAAATTCATCCTACAAACACATTTCACAACCTGGACAGAATTTAAATAAAAAGCATGACTCAAAAGTCCAAGAATAGTTTAGAGATGCAAGAAATAGTCCACAAATATATTCTGAAATCATTGAGTTACTGATCACAAATTGGGAATGAATAAACTCAGTAAAATTTGCCTCACTTAATACATTCATGAATTTTAGGGCTATGAAAAATAATAATTAACAAAGAGTACATGAAGTAGAGAAATGTTACTAAGTCCAGAACTAAACTAAAGCACATCAATATCAAGTACTCTCTGAACATAGCACACTGTGCCAACACCCAATGAAAATTTAAAGTTTATATTTAAAGTTGAAAAGTCTCATAAGAATTCAAAATAAAGA